GCAGACATGAAAAGGCGCCGCGCCGCCGCGTGCCCCCCCCCCAACTCCCTTAGCACCCGCGGTCTTCCATTTCTTCTTTCGAGTTCCAGCCGTCAACTCCCTAACTCTTTTCGAATTCTTCTTCGTTTTGGTGTGTCTTGATGTGTTCTATGTTTTGACGATGACTGATTGCATGCAATCTGTAGGTCACCCCTCGATTAAAGTTATTCAGGAAACGGAAAAGTCCGAATCATTCATAACTCAAGTGTTCCAAAGATGGGTGGATTAGACGTTTTAAAGATCCAGCTGCGCGAATCTCGCGAAAAGCAAAAGCGACTAGCTCCTGGATTCCAGTAAACGTTGAAAATAAGAAGCTGATTAGAAAACAAACAAACAAAAAACAGACTGAATGGTATAACAAGAGAATAACCCACTGCTACGCGTTCACCTGTGTTTATTATCACTATAATGGAGGTGTGAGGGCAATGTGATATGTAGTTTTTCAGTTAAGCCTTAGGAGGGTAGGAGCACCCGGGTGGTTGAGATGATTACCTCATGCGAAAAGCTGAGAACTCGCTCTCCCTGGCGTCTTCCCGCTGAGGCTTAGTTGAAAATTCATATTCCCCGTGTAACACGAAAGAACACTTAATCCCACCCACAGCTGGGGCTCCCACACCGCCCCAACTGCATTTTCACCCACTAAACCATTGTAAAACCAGATGATATGAAAAGGCATTGGCCCAATGTACGGGGTAGTCGACTAGTATTGCTGGAGATTTTCAGGTTCAGGTTGAACAGTATAGAGACAGTTCAGACGTTATACTTGCCATATCAAAGGCTAATGGCAACTGTCATGAATACAACAAAGGTCTTTAAACCAAACACATGAATCAGAAAAACCACAAAAAAACATTTCTGAGTTATTCACTGACCGCCCGCATCTGATATGACCGCCTCAACACGGTTTACTGTCTATATCACAACACACCAAAAACAATTTGTTTATTGTCGAGCTCGGCGATCGCAGAACAAAACCCTCTTTTTAATATGATCATTGTTGATCAAATTCGAGGAAGAGGAAGACGAGGGTAGTATGACTAACTAAAGCATAGCCAATGAAAAGGCAAAAAACAATGCGGGATAGGCTGGTAAACAAAAGAAACAAGTAAGAAAAAAGTTTTCACAGGAACCAACGCAATTGTGAGGAAACAATTAAAAATGGCCGTGGCTAGGCCCAGGGATGTATCACATACCAATGAATTGAGCTTTGAATGTACAGTTCGGAATGAATGACAATGCGAATGGAGCAGACCCGAAATAATTCCGCATTGCAGTGAAAGTGAAAGCAAATATGTCAGATTTCAAGGGTATCAGCTATTAACTGGGCATGATGTAATGACTAGAGTTACTGAGAAGAAAGGAAGCTCACTTGAAAAAATAAATGCACTGTTTCTTCCCATGACTCTCAACTAACGCACCTCTGCTGCATGTGCAAGGGAACTTGGCGGCGAAGATATTCAAAATACTACTGTAAGGATCAGTAGCTAAGGAACTCCAAGAGCACTAATGCAGCACAGAATATAAATGAGGTCATCGACTTGAACTGCTTTCGGTGTCATCAATTTCGCTGTCCCGGGAAAGCCTCAGGAAGGCCTCTACGAGCGAGAATTGCGTCACACAAAAATCAACAACTCCCAGTGAAGTGGCCAGAGTTTGGACGTCGCGAAACAACGACGACCACCGATCCGACTCGGACTTCGGAATCTGAAAAAACGCACATGTCGATGTTTTTTCAATACATTCCAGTTGATTCAAGAAGAACAGTCAGCGAATAAAGTGAAAACGATTCCGCAGGATCCTCACGCTCCCCTGCCTTCCCCTTTCTAACAACGTTATAGAGCGACTTCTTAAGAGAAAACGAAGTTCGAAAGCATAATAATGGGCACAAGTCTCAAGCTATTCGTACCTGCCACTTCAAACTGAGAGTGAGGCTTCCTTTGGGAGTTTTCAGGACAGCTCCAGGGAATGCTTCTTCCACCGCGTCAATCACAGCATTACGAGTGTCCACTCCTGGTGCGACCATCGATATTGTGTAGCTATTTCCAAATCTAAAGTGCGCATTTAGCATGATTTAACTCTCTCTACATTCATATAACTTAATACTACGGACACCAGGCGGATGTGGTGTAGTGGCGAGTCACGTACTATAACTCAAGCATAGTCACAGGTTCGAATGGCGGATCGATATCTGCCCAGATCAACCAAGTCTCCCATTCCTCCGGACTCGGTTAACTAGTACCAAATTCGACTCTGAGGGTAAAAGTGTAGACTTGCGCCCCGGCTGGCTAGTCATTATATAGGCCACACATGCATTCAATACGCCACCACGATTCTGAATGTATGTAAGTCAAATGCGGGGCGTACCCCTGACGGTACTGAATAAGGCCCAAAGAGTATATTTTCCATCTTTTCTATACTATGGATACCAAGAATAAGTTCCAGCACTAGAACGAATCGGATTCCCTAAGAAGCAAGCACACGCACGTCGATTTTAGCTCTTGGCTGGTCCCAATCGCCACTATTCGGCCCCTGTGCAGAATCGCAATTCGACTGCACAACGCTTCACATTCGTCCATGCTATGAGATGTTAGCAGTATAGCTGTTTCAGAGCTATCACGTATGATCGATAAGGCCTCCCAAATCTTACGACGAGCCTGAAAACAAATAGTTCGTCTTGAACCTGATGAGGGCTTCGAATCTTCATTAGAACCAGAAAAAAGTGCAGTGCATGTGTGAGCTCACAACTACATACTTTGGGATCAATTCCAGCAGTAGGTTCATCCAGAATGATAATTCGTGTTGGAGCTAGCATCGCTGCACCGACGCTAATTCTCCGACGTTGCCCTCCACTAAAATTCCAAAAATCATCGTACCAATGTTAAGAATTACAGTGGACGTATTTACAGATCCCAGCGTTCGTCTGTGGCCAGAAATGATAAACGCGACTTAATGGCCAGTGATGGCGATTACTGAAGAAGCTCAAACTGATAATGAGATAACGAATGCGGAGAATCGATGACATACGGCGAATCTCTGAAGGCATCCCTGACTCATTAAAAGGAGTCATAGAACTATCATCATTATTCTAATTAAGATTCACCAATGGCGCTAGTCAATTCCGTTACCTTCTGCAAAACAATGGAGCATCATCGCAGTGCCTTCCACTAGAAGTAATAGATTACCTGCAGTAGCGCACTAACTTATCCGCATCATCTGTCATACCGACTACACGAAGTACAATATCTGTTATATCAGCTGGATGCGGGAAACCATGCATACGGGCCAGGATCTGTAAAACCACATTCGGTTATTTTCATACTTCCGATGAATCAGTTGTCAGGAAGGTGCGAAAGGCTTGAGACACGAAATTACACATATTTATTTATTATTTATTTATTTATTTATTTATTTACTATTTATTTATTTATATTTATTTATATTTATATACTGCACTCATGGTGCACCAAAGCACTCAGGCAAATGTACTAGAAGGCTTAAACACAGCGAAGCAAAAATAAAGAAAAGAAACACAAGAATCCACAAAGCTCCAGCTACAGCATGCTACAATCTAAGAAGGCAGTACAACATTCCCCTGATTAGCTGAAGCAGACAAAGAGCGAAGAAAAAAGAGAAATATCCTTCAAGCCAGAAAGCAAAGCCGAAACAACATGAAAACGGCAAGAGGCAGCCATATACCCACGATATGAATGGAGCATTGAATGCTGTACATAGCGATGGTTTTTATACATATTGTTGTTTATGTATAAGAACCATCGCTTCACTTGAACCATCACCACATTCAGGAACGAGATCAGAAATACCAACAGTGGTAATCAAATTGAGGCGGGGATAGCCGAGTGGACAGGAGAGTAGGCTCACGCCTGCACTTAGAGGCAATGCGAGTTCGATTCCTGCCGAGGCAACTCCATACCTTGCAAAAAAAAATGCAAAAATTGTATCGGTACCAGCGTAAGGCCCAGGTTGACAAGCCGGCTGATGGAGAAACCCAGTCACAACAAACATGTCTAAAGTCTCAAAATGAATCAGTGATAAAGCTAGGCTACGCCACCCTGAAGTGGCGCACAGGACCCCCGCCCGAGTTCTGAGTTTTGTGGACAGTATGCGAGGGCTACCAAGGAGTGAACGACCTCGGCCAAAGAAGCTAGTTCG